CTCGGGTCGCGCAGGTGTGCTCACAGCCAGTCTCGAACTTCTTCCGTGTGAGCAAGTTATATCCTCAAATTTCTAAAGCATTCTTTTTTTAAAATTTAATCCTCACCTGAGGACATTTTTTTTGCCTTTATCTTCAGAGTGGGAGGGAGAGAGTGGGGGAGAGAGAGAAACATCGATGTGAGAGAGACACGTCGACCGGTCATCACCCACATGACTCCAACTGCGACCGAGGTGCGTGCCCTTAGTGGGAACCAACCCTGGTCTCCCTGGTCCGCGGGCCGACGCTCTAACCGCTGAGCCACACCGGCCAGGGCACCAAAGTATTCTTGTGACTCTGGTTATACACGGTCAACCTAGTGGTGCTGCCGCTGGTTGTGTCCAGGGAAATTTTCTAAAGGGCTTCGGGCATCCAAGCATTGGAAGTAGTCGTTTGCCAGTTGCTGTTAAGTTGAAAACGGTTAGGCTGTGAGTTATTTCTTTTGCATTGGAGCCTTTTTAGTAAACGTCTACTGGCTGTCATATAGAGAATAATGAATGGAGCCGATCGAAAGGCAGTTTTGTTCTCAAACTATATAAATACTGGTAGGTACTATGCATTAATACATAACTATGTCATAAGAGGTTTAGGATTTATTCACTTACATGTACAAATTTTAAAATTTTGTTTCCCTCATAAAACAAATTGTGACACATTTTAGTCACGCTTGAATACACTTTTTAATTTTTCTGGCTATAATATATTTTGTCAGGAATAAAATAGGCTAATGAAATGTAAAATCAAAATTTGTTCCCAAAGGTAAAAATGTGTGATAGCTTGCCAGACTTTTAATAGAGTCTTTAGAGAATGCTCTGAACTGGCCCGGCGGTGACAGCAGTCGGTGTGCAAGGGGGCCTGTGTCCTCTCCGCTGCAGGGAAGAGACAGTGCTGGGCGGGGCCGCTCTGGCCTCGGCTCCCTCCGTCCTCACATCCCACTGTTTTCTGTTTGACTGCAGATGATGCCTTTCACTCTACAGGCGTCTGCCCCACTCGCTGTCTGCACTGGTGCATGTGACAGTGCGTGTGTCAGGATCCGTGCCTGTGCGGGCACAGGGCAGTGGTCTCTGAGACCGCACCTCCAGGAACGGTGTCAGAGTGACTGCACACGTACCTGGAGGTAGAAACGCCCTGTAGGCATTTCTCATTCTGAACTGGGAGGAATTTAGCTCCACTAACTTATTGTGAGATTTTGTTGTTGTTTTTTGGTATGTTGCTGGAAATTGTGTTGAGTGAGAAATTATCTTGAGTATGTACTTGAGTTGGTTTCTTTTACAGTTTTATTCTTGCTATGATCACCCTCATCTCCAAAGACTTTTATAGTGAAAGAAATAGTATAAAACTATGGTATTTGATATTTTATTTAATTTTAATCATCTTGCAAGATTTCAATGTATCTGAGTACTAAATTAAGCTAAGACATGAAACTTTATAAAAAAGGCAAAAGATTTTCCCCTTACCAGTACCTTAAATCTTATTAGAGCTTAATGTACTTCTGAATTTATTCTGACAATTACTTTGCATGTAGTGTTTTTTGGAAAGATTAAAAACTTTTTTTTTTTTTTTATGAAGGGAGGTATTGAATCTCAGGGTGAATATCATATATTTAATTTTAACATTATTAGTTCTATTCTTCTTAGTATATTTAAATAGCTCATCAAGCTGAGGTACTTGCTTGTTTCTGTTCAAAGCAAATTGAAAAGCCAGTTTCTGTATTCTCACAACTGCTTTTGAACTTAACTTGGGTTATATATTCAACATTTATTGTTTTAGTTATAAATTATGTCTATCTTTATGATATATTTATCTTTAATAAAGTACCTCAAATATTACAATGTTTGTGATCACATTACATGAGTTATCTGTATTAGTCATTTAAAAAATAAATAATGGACAAATTAGAATGGATGAAGTAATATTTTTAAAAAATCTATACTTATATAAATTTTAATGGAACCTAAATGTAGTAGCATCTTTTTTCATTAGAAACAGAATTTAGTCAGAATTTACTCTTCATACATACTTATAAAAATATATACTTATACATACTTATAAAAATTCTCAGGTACTTGTGAGCCAAGCCTGATGTTTTGTTTTTTAATAATATGGAGCAGAAAGCTCTGGAGATTTTAATAAACATACTAAGTCATTAAATGTATTATTATACTATTGTCTTCAGTTTTCCTAAGGTCTAGACCTCTGTAATTATGACATTTGAAATAAAATTTCCTAATTTAATTGAACTTTATTAAGAATTGGAAGATGATAGTTATTTTTAAGAAATAACACTAAAGATTCTTAGTGTCATTTCCTGAAAAAATGAGACAATTAAAAACCCATTACTGTTTCCTAAGTGGTATGGCTACTTACAGAACGTATGTTACAATGTCTCTTGAAAAGTTTAGCAATTTTACCTTATGAGATAAAAATCAGAACACTTTTTATCTGTCAAGAAAAAGTTCCTGTGAACATTCGTTTCTAGGTATTGCTATGCTTTTCAAAAGAATTTTTTATGTTGCGTATACTAGTTTTGGCTGATACAGATAATTGCTTTTTATTTATCCTATATATTTAGATTCTCTACACATGAACTGATGTGTCTAGACAGGAAGTGGTATGTAGGAGATATAGGAATGGGCTGAAGTATCCTTTATATTTGCCTTTGTATCTAGGGGAGTTGGAAATAGGCAAGAATGGAGAGAAATTTTGTATGGCAGTACACAGAATTTTGCAAGTTTATTGTGAGCCCTGCAGCAATCCGATGCATTTTAGTTACTGGTAAGTTTGCTAAATTATGTTTGAAAATGTACATCTTCGAAGATGGCCATCTGTCTATTTACTATTACGTCCCCCATGTCAAATATACATACCTATTAAAGATTTTAAAAAGTTATGGTACTGCTATTGCTTTGGGTTTTAGGTTTAAATTAATACTACCTTTATTAGTGAATGAATTTGAGTTTTCAATTGTTGTCACAGTTAAAATGGAAGTGAAATTAATATTATGTGAATTAGCATAGTCATGTGTTAAGATTTTGGAAAAAGAAAATATTTCTGATTTTGTAATGAAACTCGACTGTGTTTGGAATTCTGAGTTAATTCATTAGATGTTTGAGAAAGAGTTGTCTTTCTGACATAAGAGAATAAGAAAATCAACGGCTCTACATAGGAGGTGATTTATTGTAAAAAATACTTTTTTGCATTTTTTGTCATGGACCATAGGGACGCTCTTCTAGTCTTTTTGGCAGTACCAATGTTTAGAAATCCTAGTCATTTTTCTCCCGAAATTACTAACTCGGGTGTAGGTCAAAATTCCACGAACAGATTAGGAAATTGTGTAATGTGTATACAGTAGCTGTCTTCATTCTTTTCAAACATTTAGGCAGAAGTAGTATGTATAATGGTACTCAAGCAATTATTTATGAAGTGGCTTTGACTCTTGATACAATTCATTTAAAATGGACTAGATTGCTTTTCTGTTCTTACAGAAACATTTTAAAAATCCCAGGGAATTCCGTGGTAACTGTGTTTTTCTCGTATAATGTCCACCTTAGATTTTTAGGACAAAGTAAAAGAATTATCAGTTATTTTGTAGTACTAGTTTACATAAGAGTTTGTTTTTGTGGTTTAAAGTACAGGGCCAAATAATGTAATTGAATTTCAATTTCCTTGTAATAAAGTACTTTATTTTCAAATGTACTATGTTTTTTTCTTGATGAAATATAATGTTAAACTATTGGTTTTTATAATAATAAAACATTTTGTTAATTATTTTTATGAGAATATTTCTGATTTGAACAAGTATAGCCACATTGTTAGAGAAAAGTGTTGTTTGCCATTTTTATTGAAACCATAATAGATACAATAACTCCAGAGAATAGAATAACTTTAGATTACTTTTGGGCCTTAATACTTTTCAAGTTTTCCTAATTACCAGATTTTCTTAGTTTCCTGTAGGAATGAGTACTTGTGTATTAAAATATATTTAGAAATTTGAGGCTTTACCCATTATTGTGAATAAAATTAGGCAATTTGGGGTACCTTGTAAAGTACTGTAAATAGACATTATTCTAATAGCTGTTAAAGTCTGGCTTATGGTCATTCATTGTTATAAACTATGGTAAACATATGACTAGAAATGCTATCATGTCTGAATGCTGCTGGTTGGAAATAGCTCCATGTAATTCTGTGAAGTAACACACCATCAAAGTTATGCTAGAGCATATACTGTACACGGAGCGGCATGTTCCCGTGCAGCCGTTCCTTTCCCTCTGTTTCCTCACTCAGCACCATACCCAGTGCTGGGCGGGGGGGGGGCACCTGTCTTTCTGTGCTTGTGGGCATTGCATGTGCAGGTGTTACTCTCACTTTTCGTCTGAACACTGCGTAAACCCTTTGTTTTCTCTGCCCTCACGAACTGTTCCTGAGGGCATATAGGGACCTGAGTGACATGTTGCATATTTCTCTGGGTATTTTTTAAAGAGTATGAGTAGTTTTTGAAAATAGGTCTAAATGAAAAGTTTATTTTAAAAAGTCGGTGTGTTTTCTTCCAAAACAGTCTTGTGTACCTATTTAAAATTCTCTAAGATAGCACATTCTTCAAAGAAATATTGTGGTAAAGTCTTTATTATGATGAACTGACATATTTGTGGGTGTGTTATGTGAGATTTGCTTGAAGCAGGGGATATATATGTGTATAGATAAACTTAGATGTTTGCCTTGGAATATAAAAAAATCAGTGTGTTGATTTATGATATTTAATGTTAAATAGATAAAACTAGTTTTATCATGCTTGTGAGAAAATATGTTATTGTATAATATAATATATAATAGTCATTGTTGGCAAAACAAATTAGATCTGAATGTGGTTGTTACGTTTTGTCAAAATAAAATACTGAAATTGCACACTAAGTTTATAGTCAACGTGGATGATTGCATAATGAAATTATCTGTACTTTACATGCAGTGCTACTCTTTTGGCATTCCTGGTTGAACTACTTAAAAGCTCCGTAGCCATGCAGGAGCAGATGCTGGGCGGAAAAGGCTTTCTGGTCATTGGCTACTTACTTGAAAAGGTGAGTGATGTGCACTGGCGGTTTATCGTGCAGTCTTCAAAGACGGGCAACTGACAATCACTAATTATACTTTTTCTACAGTTTCCCTTCCCGTTGACTGTATAGAGGCTATGTTTTGGGCTAATTCACAAACATTTTTAAATTATGCACCTAGATCTAAGTGTAGACATTGAACTAAATTGGTGTTAGAAATTTGTATAATTAAGAAATTCTGACTGAAAGTAGAAACTAAAATAAATGATTTTGTTTGCTTTTATTCAAAGTTATAAGTTTATTCTTCATTCTTTTTTAATCATTCTTTTTTATTCTCTTGAGTAGATACCTATGACTTGATGTTCTGGGGCCTGTTATACCTTTATTATGTTCAATCACTTACTGCCAGACTGTTTTCCAAAGGAGCTCTACCATTTTATATTCCTGTGTTGCCTGTTTGTCTATATTTTTTTGAGAAATGTCACTTTAGGACTTCTGCCAACTTTAAAAAATATTTTATTTTTGTAACAGATGTTTCTCCTTTTTCCCCCATTGACACCATCCCCCACCCCTCAGTATTGTTGTCTATGCCCATGGTTACGCATACATGCATGTAAGTTCTGTGGTTTATATCTTCCACTCTTGCCAATTTTAAATAATTGGAGTTATGTGTTTTTTATTATTGAGTTGTAGGGTTTTTAATTTTGTATTCTAATTCTTTATTAGATACATGATTTGCAAAGGTACTCTTCTACTCTGTAGATCTCATTGTGTTATCATTTGCATTTCTCTGGTGATAAATTAAGTTGAGCATTTTCATATATTTATTGTCATGTTGGTTATCTTCTTTCATTAAAACCTGCAGTGTTTGCCCTTTATCATTTGGTTTATATATCATTTTCTTACTGAGTTTTGGAACTTCTGTAAATATCCTGGATATGAGTGCTCGGTTTAATATGTATTGTACATATCTCTTCCTCTGTGTCTTTTAATGAAAAAAGTCCTTAATTTCAATAGATAAACTTTTCATTTTTTTTATGATTAACCCATTTTGGATTCTTAAGTATTCCAAAGTCATGAGACTCAAAATTGTGTTTTTTTTGTTTTTTTTTATCCTCACCCGAGGACATTTTTCCATTTTTTGTTCAGGTAGAGTGGGAAGGAGAGAGAGGAAGGGAGAGAGAGAGAAACATCGACGTGAAAGGGACACATTGAGTGGCTGCCACCCGCACAACCGACCAGGGCCGGGGACAAACTGCAACCGAGGCACATGCCCCCAGCGGGAACCGAACCCGGGTCTCTCAGGACCGCAGGCCGACGCTCTAACTGCTGAGCCAAACCGGCCAGGGCCAAAATTGTGTTTTAATTTTCACATTTAGATTTATAGTCTACCTCCAACTGAATTTTGTGTGTGGTATGAGGTATAAAGTTCAAAGTTTATGTATTTTCTCTCTCTCTACACACACACACACACACACACACACACACACACACACACACCTATTTATACATGAGCTCATTTCCAGAGTCTTATGTGTTGTGTTTCTTTCCCTCTCTTTGAGGAAGTACAGTCTTGTTATCTCAACATGTGCCATGTAGCTTTATTGTTCTTCAAATTGCCTTGGCTATTTTTGGGTCTCTGCATGAGCATATACATCAGCTTTTCGAATTTCACACATACAATATCCTAGGATTTTTGTTGTATTATGTTGGCATTTTTTATTTTGAATCTTTCAAGTCAGACACTTTATATATCATTCTATTTATTTAGGTCTCTTTGGAAGATTTCTGTGTAGAAAACTTTGTTGGATTTCTTCCTAGATATTTGTGGTTCTATAAATTTAATTTTTTATTTGTCATTGGTACGTACACATATAATTTGTGTTTTTAATGATATTTTATATACTGATCTTGCTATTCCTCTCTCAAACCTAGTAGTTTGAGATTTTTAAAAAAAGAATTTCTATTAAAAATGATATATCTGAGAATGATAATTTTTTTTCTTTTTCATACTCATTCTTTCAATGTTTCCTCCCCTTGACTAACTGTACTAAGCCATTCAGTATAGTGTTGAATTGAAGTTGTAATGGTGGGCTTCTCTACTTTATTTTAGATTTCTTGGGTAAAGGTTTTAATAATTGTCCACTAAGTAAGTTATATGCTGTAGATTACATTTTATTGACTTTTTAATCAAATTGAGAAACTATTTGTGGAGTTTCCTCAAAAAATTAAAATCGGAACTGCCATTTGATCCAGTGATCCCACTTCTAGGGATATATCATAAGAATCCCAAAACACCAATCAAAAAGAATATATGCACCACTATGTTCATAACAGCATTATTTATAATAGCTAAGATCTGGAAACAGCCCAAGTTCCCATCAGTAGATGAGTGGATAGAAAAACTGTGTTACACTTACAGAATGGAATTCTATGCAGCTATAAAAAAGGATTATGCTAAGTGAAATAAACCAGTGAGAGAAAGACAAGTATCACATGATCTCACTTATATGTAGAATCCAGTGAACAAAATAAACTAATAAATAAGATAGAACCACAGACATGGAAGCAGGGAACAGGCTGATGAGTCAGAGGGAAAGAGTTAGGGGGACAGGAAGAGATTAACTAAAGAACTTACTTGCATATGCATTGCCCATAGGCACAAACAGTAGGGTGGTGAAGGCCTGGGATTGGGAGGTAACCGGGTGGAGGGGTGCAATGGGGGATAAGAGTGGGTGGGGGCATCTGTAATACTCTCAACAATAAAGGTAAAAAAGAAAAGAAAATGTCTATTTCAAGTTTGCTAAGTTTTCTTTTATCATAAACAGGTATTGAATTTTAATCAAATGCCTTTTCTGCATTGTTTGAAATAGTTATGATGTTTCCATATTTTTTATTAGTATAGTGACTTACATTGATTTTCAAATGTGGGACCATCCCTGTATTCCTGGAATCCTATCTAGTCTGAGATTCATCCTCGTTCCAATCCGGCTTTCATCTCTGTGCTTCCCCAGCAGCCTTCAGTTTCTTAAACCTCATGGTTCTCAATCTTTGTCCTACTCGACCTTTAATAGTAGTTCAGTTTAACGTTCTTTCCTTGAAGTGCTGTCTTCAGCTGTATTTTGTGAAGTGTTCTTGTTTCTTTCCTTCCTACCTCCTTGACTCTTTTTATTCTCTCCTAGTAGTTCCTCCCCTTGTTCCTCAATTCTGAAGGTGCTGTTGTCTTGGCACTGAATCCGGGAACCTTCTATACTTGTCTGACTTCAGTGTGAGTTTACCCTCAGCGTCCCTTGTCCTGTAAAGACCAGGTGTTCTCAAAGGCGTGTCTCCCGTCACCCTTTCCGTTGGCCCTAATCTCTCGTGTTCAGCTCCTGGTGGATGCTAATAGGTTTCAGAAACCGAAACGATCCAAACTGTTTTTATTTTCTCTCTAATTTTAATCTTCAGTCTTTTCTTAGTTAATACCATCACCATTGAACAGGTACTTCAGACCAGAAATTGTAATCCTTTTTGACTCTACTTTTCACACAGTAAATTTATATTTTTAGCAAACTGCTTTTTCCATTTTTAAATCATCACCCAAGGATATTTTTCTGTTTATCTTCAGATAGAGTGGGAAGGGAAGAGGGAGAGAGAGAAAGAGAGAGAGAGAAATATCGATGTGAGAGAGACACATCACTTGGTTGCCTCCTGCAGGACCCCAACCAAGGCCAAGGACAAACTGCAACCAAGGTACGTGCCCTTGACCAGAATTGAACCCGCGACTCTTTGGTCCTCAGGCTGATGCTCTAACTGCTGAGCCAAACTAGCCAGGGCCATATTCTCAGCAAATTGTATTGCTTAGTATCAAAACATATCCAGACTCAATAACTACTTTGCACTTACTAGTCTGCTCGTTTCTGTGTCCATTGCTACTCTCTTAGTTCACATCGCAGTCTTTCTTTGGTTACTCGTATCTGTGGTTCACATGCAGCCGTAGCAGACTAGTGCTCCTGCAATGCGCCACATCTTACAACTCCGTCCTTTTATGAGTAAATTCACAAATGTCTTACTTCTGTTACCATCTCTTTAACATTCTCCTTTTTCGCCTTCTCTTTTGCAGTCATACTGGTCATAAAAAGCCTTTTTGCTTTTCTTGTAAAAAATCTAAATGGTAATCCTGTGCCCATCTCAGGACCTTTGCATGTCCCCCTGTTGTTTTGCTCATTTTTTGCATAGATACCCATGTGGCCTGATTGTATAATTCATTCAGGAGTTAGCTTATGACACCTCATCAGGGAAGGCTTCCCCAATCCCTCTGAGTAGAACAGTAACGCTCCGTGACCATCACTAGCTGTCTACACTGCTAATTTTTTACAGCACCATTCTGATATTTTCAAAAACGTGTTTATTTTCTGCTTTCTTTCACTAGAATGTAGGCTTCAGATTCAGGAAAGCAGGGACAGTATCTTCCCCCCTCACCTTATTGCTGCATCTTCACCAAAAGGACTGCCTGCCTCCATAAATATTTCCTGAGTCAAGTAAATGGAGCGCACTCGCATGTTTGATTTCCTAAATAGAATATGCCTTTTAGCTTTCTCAGATGCGTGTTTACACTGTTTTATTTTTAAATAATCAGCTGCCAGGTGAATAGTATTAATAAGATCCCATTTCTGTTTATCAGTGGATAAGAGTGAGTGGCCAGCCGTGTGTGGTCAGCTTGAGGGCCTGTCGGAGCAGGGGCTGTCAGGGAGTCAGCCCGAGGAGCAGAGGTGCTCCGCCCAGTCAGACTCTTCACGAGCATCTCTGAAGGTGTCTTGTTTGCTTTGTTCTGCCAGAATATGAGTCTTCTTGAAACGATTGTCACTGAATGCAGTAGAATAGATTATATAAGCTGTGTGAGATTGAAACTAATGAAGGTGCTGGCTGAAGCTGTAAACAGCCATTGATCTCACTTAATTGCACTCCCCTATCCATGAATAGTATTTTAGAATTTAAAAGTATTCTATTCTTCTCATTAACATACCTTTAAAATGAGTTCCCAATCTTTGCTGTTTTGTTTTTACTCAAATATTTATTTGTTTTTGCCCTGGCCGGTTTGGCTCAGCGGTTAGAGCGTCGGCCTGCGGTCCAGAGAGACCCGGGTTCAGTTCCCTCTAAGGGCATGTACCTCGTTTGCAGTTTGTCCCCGGCCCTGGTTGGGTCGTGCGGGTGGCAGCCACTCGATGTGTCCTTTTCACGTCAATGTTTCTCTCTCTCTCTCTCTTTCTCTCCCTTCCTCCCACTCTATCTGAACAAAAAAATGGAAAAATGTCCTCGGGTGAGGATTAAAAAAATATATATATTTACTTGTTTTTGTCCCCCTAACCTTACCCTTTAATAACTCAGCACTTTGTTAGCACCATTTCTTTATCTTCTTAAACACGTCTCATGTGAAGTTATGTTCTGAGGCTTGTTTCGAATTGGGTAGGAGGGCTGCTCCTCTGCTCACCGTCCACATCACACTCGCACCCAGCGGAGCAGCACCTTCAGCGCGTGCTGCCTTTGACCCCGGGTCCAGTTCTGTCCACTGCCTGTTTTCTCCATTCACTTGCGGACGTGGGCCATGTCTCCTACTTTACCTTCTTATTTTATTTATTGTATACCTCTACCTTCTTTGTAAGTTCTATGAAAGCAATCTTTTTTTCTTACTTTTTTTCCTTCAGTTTTCTTAACTGTTCTTTCCACAGTGCCGGGAGAATACCTAGGAAATAGTCAGTAGTCAACGTCTGTGTTTGCTGACTCGTAAATGAGAAGGTCACGCGCTACCTGGGCGGCAGAGGGAATGGCATAAGGGTTTCCAAGTTGAGGGAGCATGATAGAGAAAGCAGGGGAACAAACTGGTGTTAGGTGGGTGGAATTTGGCCAAATACATACTTGTTTGGTTCAATGACAAGTGTTTTAGTTTTGAATTTTATTTCCTTAGATACTTTGAGCAATCTTCACTACTCCTCATTGTCTGCTACCCAGATTCATACACTGTTGTTTATTCACTGCTTGCGTATTGTACTTTGCGTTTGTGATTCCTCGTGTAGAAGGATGGAAGTGCACGGCATGCTCACGTCAAGTTGATTGCGTTCTCCTTGTTACGGGCGTGATGAATGTAGGTACTATTACACCTTAATAGTGCTATACTGATAGTCGGACTTCATTCAGTGGATAGTAGGTTAAAGGCATAATATGACCTGCGCTTTAGAGTTGAGCGGAGCTGATCCTTAACCCTGGGGAGGCTGGTGATACTACAAAAATGATCACTAGACGAGGAAAAAGAGATTTGGGTAGGAAAATACATTTTTTGACATTTGAGTTTGAATTATTAGCTTTTATGAACACTTTTCTCTATATATTATTTTCTACTGAAATAATACTCTAGGATAGCATTGTCCAATGAATATATAATGCAGGTTTCATATGCTGTTTAAATTTTTCCAGTAAAAAGTAATTATTGAAATTAACTTTAATAATATATTTTATTTAACCTAGTGTATCCAAAGTATTATCACTTCAACATATACTGAATAAGGAAAAGAATGATAGGTATTTTACATTGTTTTTTCATTCTAAACCTTCAGAATTCAGGGTGTACATGTATATAGCACATATCACTTAGGACTAGACACATTTCAAGGGCTCAGTAACATGTATAACCAGTGGCTACTCTATTGGACAGTGAAACTTTAAGGTTTGATTTGAATTTTGGAAGATCTGTCATTTATGTAAATGCCATGGTAGCAGGTTATGTGTTGGTGATGGGAGTGTTCAGCGCAGGGACAGCGCTCCCGGAGCTGTGGGAGCCTGCTGTCCGGGAGAGGGTGTCTGCAGAGAAGAGCAGTCCCCAGCTTCTTAGCAAAGATCGCTGAGGGCCGCAGTGAGGGACATGAATGCCAAGGGCCACCTTTCCCAGGGCTCGGGTCGGGGACGCGCCGCGGACGGAGCAGCGCTGGGCGTGCGCTCGGTCCTGACCCCGGCACAGGGCTCGGGGACGAGTGGGCCATTCATTCTCCCTTTCGCTTGGAGTTAGTGAAAGCCTCTCCCTTCTTCACGACTTTGTTTGTGTAGGTGTGTGTATTATATGAATTTTAGGTCATTTCAAATTTTGTCTAAAATCTTTTTTCATCAATTTCTGCAAAAGTTGAATAGAACCATTAGTTTTTCATAACTTATTTTATTTCTGCTTGAGTTCATAGTGGCATTTTTTAAATTGAGATATTTATTTGCAACTGCCCTAAAAAGAGCTTCAGATAACAAAGTATAATGCAGAGAATTTACTTAAAATTTGTACTTTCTAATTATAATTAAATTTTGAATAGCAAAGTAAAAATAAAGGTTTTTAAATTTTATATTTAAAATATTAAAGATAACATGTGAAAAATGAATTTGTACTTCTGTTAGTCCGCACAGTCCACTTGGCTGTCCTGCAGAGCTTTAGCTCGACTCCCTGTTCTCTCCCTCAGTCCTCGCGGGCTCACATCACCAGGGCAGTGCTGGAGCAGTTCCTGTCCTTTGCCAAGTACCTGGACGGCCTGGCTCACGGGGCGCCGCTGCTGAAGCAGCTGTGCGACCACATCTTGTTCAACCCAGCCATCTGGGTGCACACACCCGCAAAGGTGAGGATCTGTTCTCATTTATTGTATTTTAGTGTAATGTTGTAAATAACACTTAGTGGATCTAAACTATCCAGTAGAAGACATTTGTAATTTTCAGCTTATTTAGTTGTCAATATGAAGGATTTCTATTAAGCAGTATCAGAAATCAAAATATTAAATATGTAAATATTAATATAGATGAAAGTATAGTTAAAAATTAAGCTTGATGTAACAACATTCTGAAGTCATTGGATGTAATTTATACTTTTCCAAGAAAGTGAATTTGGTACACTTATTATTAGAAGACTAAGAAAAGAGAAAATAACAGGTAACCAACTGTATTATTTTTATTATTATTTTTTTATCCTCACCCGAGGACATTTTTCCATTTTTTGTTCAGGTAGAGTGGGAGGGAGAGAGAGGAACACAGAGAGAGAGAGAAACATCGACGTGAAAGGGACACATCGAGTGGCTGCCACCCGCACAACCGACCAGGGCCGGGGACAAACTGCAACCGAGGTACGTGCCCTTAGCAGGAACCGAACCCGGGTCTCTCCGGACCGCAGGCCGATGCTCTAACCGCTGAGCCAAACCGGCCAGGGCCCAACTGTATTATTATAATTGTGATCACACGACTGGAAAATTGCTTGTATTTTAAATACAGAGTTTATATTATGATGTAAATATAATTTGTTTTAAAGTAAATATATACACAAGGCATTTTTTTCTAGATATCAACATAAGTTTTTAGCACTTTGCATACCTGCCCTTAGCCTTGTCACATCTAGTGGGGATCAGTGAGGGACACCTTCTATGACTCTGACCTGCCTTTGCAATTTTCAAATTTTCCCCAAAACTTTGTGTGAAGAGTGGTTAAGTTCCGACTTGTGTCGCAGTGATCATGTCATTGTAGTGCTAACCTCAACCCTGAGTTCTGTTCGCCGTTTCAACAGGCATTGGGCCTGTCATCTCCCTGCTACGTGCTGAGGCTCCGATGCTGTGTCAGTGGGTCACGATCTTTTGAAATTCCATGAACTTTTAAGATATATGACAACAGCCCTGGCCGGTTTGGCTCAGCGGTTAGAGCATCGACCTGCCGTCCGGAGAGACCCGGGTTCAGTTCCCGCTAAGGGCGCGTACCTCGGTTGCAGTTTGTCCCCGGCCCTGGTCGGTTGTGCGGGTGGCAGCCACTCGATGTGTCCCTTCACGTCGATGTTTCTCTCTCTCTCTCTGTTCCTCTCTCTCCCTCCCACTCTACCTGAACAAAAAATGGGAAAGTGTCCTCGGGTGAGGATTAAAAAAAAAAAAGATATATGACAACAGAATGTATTTTTTGCAAATATGACACAGCTGTCTGATGTTAGTTCTGTTCTTTTGAGCTGCGGAAATGTACTTAGATTTAAGGCTTTAGTCTAGCTGACTTTTTGTTTTGTTTTTTTAAAAATCCTCACCCGAGATATTTTTCTGGTTATCATCAGACAGTGTGGGAGGAAGGGAGCTGGAGGGAGGGAGGGAGGAAGGCGGAGAGAGAGAGTGAAAGAGAGAGGGAGAGAGAGAGAGAAACAAACATCAGTGTGAGAGAGACACATCAACTGCCTCCCGCAGGACCCGACCAGGGCCTGGGATGAACTGCCACTCGGGCGCGTGCCCTTGACTGGAATTGAACCTGTGATGCATTGGTCCACAGGCCGATGCTGTAACTGCCGAGCCCAACCGGCCAGGGCTAATCTAGTTGAATTTTAAAAAAATGTTACCTTTCTTTTAGATACTTTCAGTGGTTTTATTGATTTACTTAAAACTGTTTCATGGTTGCCCGACCTGTGTGGCTCAGTGGTTGAGCATCGACCCATGGCACCAAGAGGTCGCTGATTCGATTCCCAGTGAGGACACATGCCCAGGTTGTGGGCCTGATCCCCAGTCGGGGGCATGCAGGAGGTGGCTGATCCATGTTCTCTCTCATTGATGTTTCTCTCTCTCTTGCTCTCCTATCTCTCTCTCTAAAATCAATAAAGAAAAAAAATTAAACTATTTCATGGTTAATAGCTATTGCATTATTTTTAATAAAATAAATGTTATTAGAATGTGTTTTTGCAGATTGTTTTTTAATATGAATAATATCTAATAAATATTTATTTTTAACCACATAATATATGCTATTTTCTTGGCCTTTACTAATTTTCATTTAAGTTAGAATAGAATGTATATGTATAGTATAAACATTTGAAACATTTTAAATTTATTTTACTACTCTGTTAATGTTTTTTGTATATTAGGTTCAGCTTTCTCTATATACTTATTTGTCTGCTGAATTCATTGGAACTGCTACCATTTACACCACCATACGAAGAGTAGGAACAGTATTACAGCTAATGCACACATTAAAATATTATTACTGGGTCATTAATCCTGCTGACAGTAGTGGCATTACACCTAAAGGATTGGGTAAGTGTTATACTTAACTGTACATGACATTGAACTGTGATTGTTCTGTATTTGGAGTGCTGTTATAGTAAACAGGTATGCATGGTTATGAAAAATCACTGAACTTTTGTCTTATGTAGTAAACTGGTATATTGAGAATTTTTTGTGGTAAAGAAGTTTAGAGTTTTGCAATACTAATTTTTTGAAGAAACTCCACACTGCTTTCCACAGTGGCGGCACCGGTCTGATTCCCAGCAGCAGTGCACTAGGCTCCTTTCCCATCCTCACCAGCTCTTCTGTGGTGATTGGTGGACGGCGGTCGTTCTGGCAGGTGTGCGGTGATGCCTCATTATCATTTTGATTTGCATCTCTGATGATTAGTGACGTTGAGCATTTCTTCATATGTGTCTTGGCCATCTGTATATCCTCTTTGGAGAGGTGTCTATTCAGGTCTTCTGCCTGTCTTTTTTTTTTTTTTTTTAATTCTCACCTGAGGATATTTTTTCCATTTATCTTCAGATAGAGTGGGAGAGGGAGGGAGAGAGGTGGGGGGGAAGGGAGAAAGAAACATTGATGTGAGAGAGACATATCGACTGGTTGCCTCTGCATGACCTGACCAGGGCCAGCGACAATTGTGACTGAGATCCGTGCCCTTGGCTGGAATAGAGCCTGTGACTTTTTGGTTTGTGGGCTGATGCTTAACCGTTGAGCTAAACTGGCCTAGGCTCCCATTTTTTTTCTCTTTCTTTATCCTCTCCCAAGGACATTTTTCAATATTTTGTTTAGATATAGTGGGAGGGAGAGAGAGAGAGAAACATCGACGTGAAAGGGACACATCGAGTGGCTGTGACCCACACGACCCAACCAGGGCCGGGGACAAACTGCAACGGAGACACATGCGCTTACGGAAACCGAACCCAGGTCTCTCTGTACCACAGGCTGACGCTTTAACTGCTGAGCCAAACCGACCAGGGCATGGGCTGCCATTTTTTAATTGGATGGTTTATCTTCCCTTTGTTCAGTTGTATGAGTACTTTATGTATTTTGGAAATTAACCCTTTATCCGATGTATCATTGACAAATATGTTCTCTTGAATACAGTGTGTTTCCTTTTTATTTTGATGCTTGTTTCTTTTGCTGTGCAGAAGCTTTTTAGTTTGATGTAGTCTCATGTGTTTATTTTTGCCCGTTTCTCTTGCCTTGTATTGGTGTAAATTATGCTAGGCGGGATGTCTGAGATTTTGCTGCATATGTTTTCTTCTAGGATTTTTATGGTTTCACACTTTACATTTAAGTCTTTTTTTCATTTTGAGTTTATTCTTGCGTATGATGTAAGTTAGTGACCTAGTTTTATGTTTTTGCATGTTCCTGTCCAGTTTCCCCAGCATCGTTTATTGGACAGACTTCCTTTACTCCACTGTATACTCTTGCCTCCTTTGTCAAAACTGTCATTATCATTTATTTTTATGTTGTTCAAGTGGTCTCAGATTTTGCCAGTAGGAGCCCCTTCACTTGTTCTGTGTTTTTATGACCACTGTTCATACTTTTTAGTACTTTTTTTGTGGTATAAGATGTCCTTGGTGCATCTCGTCCTTTCTTTACCACAGTCCTGAAACCACCCCTGGCTTCAGGAGCCCTGGACTGGACGTGGTTTCTCAGAACCAGCATGTGGGCGTTGAGTGTGCTTGTTGTACTTACTCCTCTTTGGGGGTCATGCTTCTGGGCATTTCTAGTGGAAAAGATGTAGAAATGCAAGTATGTGTATGATACATCCATACACTTAAACTGATCTGTCCGTATTAAAAACGATGAGTTCATACCACTATCTTCAATTCTAGCCCAAACGACATGGTTCAGTCTCACCTCCAACATGTATTTTCGTTGCTTTCTTCCTTTTATAGCAAGAAGTCTGACTCTCATCATCTTTAATAAATTTGTATATTAGCTTATTTTACATTAAGAAACCAGTGTTCTTACACCTACACCATCACCTTCTCAGCACTGACATGCCAGTCGGCTCTGACCCGTCCGCAGCTCTGACTCCGGAGGGTCCCTGGGGCCTCCGTGACCGCTGCACACTGCCTGGCCTGCAGGATTGGCCGCCTGCTCCGTGCCAGCCTCTGTGTCCCCTTGGCCGCTCTGCCTCCAGGGCCCTCAGGCCTGTGGCTCTGACCGCTGAAAGGAGAGGGGAGGGGACACAAATAACCGTATTTTATTTTATTTAAAAATTTTTATCTTTATTGTCAGTATTATAGATACCCCCTTCTTTCCCTCATTGACTCCCTTCTGCATGACCCTGCCCCCTTCACTGCAGTGTGTCTGTGTCCATTGGTGATGATGTGAACCGAGTACCTGTATTTTAAAGAACGTGGAAGGGCGTTTCTTTTTCTTTATGCTTCAGTCTATTCTTTTTACTTTATATGCTTATTAATTTATTCTTTTAAATATCTTTTTAATCCATCTGAAATTTTGTTTTTCAGTGGAATGTGAAATTCTGACTTGAAACATAATTTTCTAAATGACAACTTCTGTCAATACTGTTTTATGCTAAAATGCTTTAAGGACACAATAAAGATAATTTGTACTTTATTAGCTATTTGTTGAACTAGTTGAGAAGTAGGATCTTTTTGTTTTGACTCTGATTAGCACTTTTTCCTTCAAATAGTATTTTATATGGTTCACTGTAAAAACATTTATTTATATTACAGATATCATAGAAATACATTAACTTGCTAGCAAGTGAAATAATTGAAAGGTTTATGAATAAAAAACAATATTCTCCCAAGGAGCCAGTATTACCAGTCTTACATAGCTTTTGCCTCTTTTTTTATGCTCATCCATGTTACATAGCTGTTTCAAATTATAGATGTTTAAAGATTTATTTTGAATATGTTATAAACACAAAGTCATATCATATATGTAAATATAAAATGAACCGCATATAAGTAAGTAATGCTAAGCTTAAGAAACAGTGCATTCCCAGAGCCTGTTTGAAGGTACGCACATCTTCCTCCCATGTCCAGCCACAGAGAGAGCTCCATCTATAGTGCAGTGTTTATGATGCTTTTACTTTAAGTACCTTTTATTTTTTACTATGCTCAGCTCTTTGCTATTTATGTATGTATTCCTAAAGGATTGATAGTTGAGCTTCTGTATTTGACATAAATAGTATTATTTATGATTTGTTTTGTCATCCAGTTTCATATTTGTAAGATAAATTTATTTGTATTTTGTAAAATATGATTTTATATTATACACATACACTAAATTTCCACATTTCTCTACAACCTGCTTTTTTTTTTTTTATCCTCACCCGAGGACATTTTTGCATTTATCTTCAGATAGAGCAGGAGGGAGAGAGGGGAGAAGAAAGAGAGAAACATCAATGTGAGAGAGACATATCAACTGGTTGCCACCCACATGACCCCAACCAAGGCTGGGGACAAACTACAATCCAGGTACGTGTCCAGGACTCTTTGGTCCGCAGACCGACGCACTATCCGCTGAGCCAAACCAGCCAGAGCTACAACCTGCTTTTTACATTGTGTAATATATGACAGCAGTAATTACATGCAACATTTAGTGAGTGCTTACAGTTAGAATGGACCAGGCACTGTTCTGATATCTTTACATATGTCGATCCATTTAATTCTCACAAAATATCTTATGACGTAAGCACTGTTATTATCCTCATCCTAACAACTAAAATTATTGATGTATTAAGGTAATATAAAACTTGTCCAATATCATTAAGTAGTGGCAACATTATAAGTACAAGTAAGATAACTCACTAAGACAGTGGCTCTCTCTACGGGTACAGGGTGGGGGTGTGCTCTGGGAGCGGCGGGCCCAGAGCCCAGGCCCAGAGCCCAGGCCCAGGCAGGCGAGGGTTCTGTTGTTCCAGCCCGTGAGCGCTGGGGGATTTTATGAGCCGGCACCTAAACCATTCGGAGCTGGGACTTGAGAGAAGTCATGGTGGGAGTATTCACATAACAGAATAGAAATCTGCAAATGCTAGGACTCGGGACCTCACCCTCCACCAGTTAGTTCCTTTACCAGCACACCAGGCTGCTGTAAGTGCGCAGCTGCTTCGCCTAAAAGGTGGTTGTACTGGTGTTCATTTTATAATAATTAGTTAAGTTGTACATTTATATCTTCTGTTTGTGTGCTCTTTTTCACAATGAAAAATATTTTTTTTAAGAAAACGTAATAATGCCAAGCGTTGGTAGGGAGGGAAAGGGTGCTTTGCACTGTCCGCAAGAACGGGCGGATGTGGAGCGCCCTCTGGGGGATGGGAGAGGTTGCCTTTCCAGGAGCAGGCAGCAGAGTGTTTGAGTGTTGATTTGATTTGAGGTATAATAATCTGCGTGCTAATTTCTGGTGAGTAAATAAGAGATGTTAGAAATCATACATAAAGAGATTGTAGTTTTAAAACTCACAGAGAAGCTGTATAATCTTGATTGCATTAAGAAAAATTTGATGTTGAAGGACTTTCATGGTTCTAGATGCATATCTGAAAGGTATAATTTAATTATTGTATATTATAAATATTACATGTATATTCTTATATTTGGTAATTAAATATTTGCAATTACTGAAATTTATTTATTGTGATAGAAGTAATATATATACTTTAATTGTTCCTGTCATTTGCATTTATTGACTCATAAGCAATTATTGAGTGTCCACTGTAATATGTATTTGGTATATATGGAGATATGGGGAAAAAAAGCTACAAAACAAATCACTACAATAGAGTGTCAATTTTTCTATGCTTTATTTTATAAAGTGTGGTGTGAAAATGGAGACACCACACATTATAAATGAAGACAGGTTTGAGGATGGAAGAAGTATTGCGAAAACTTGGATTTCAGGGGGAAAAGGGAACCAATTTATTAGGTTAGAAAAAAGTGTCTGTGTAACCATTTGATGAGTATACATTTGTCAGTGTATAGTAATAAAACTTTTAAAAATTAATTGTTTCCCCCAGTGTGACAATTAGTGAATAAGTTGAAATCACCGAAAACCTGAAAATGTTAAGATTCTCTGATATAATTGAAATTTCACAGCATTAATAGTAATAAATATTATAATTATAATAAATAGAACTATTGAAGAATTCTATAGTATCCTAACATTATTGCATTAAGCTTTTTTAATATCATGGCTTTTTCCCCTTTTTTTCCCCTTGTTTTTTTGCTTTGTTTCAGATGGTCCACGGCCATCACAAAAAGAAATTATATCACTACGGGCATTTATGCTACTTTTTCTGAAACAGCTCATATTGAAGGTAAAATAATTTCATGTAATTCAGAGCTGCAATATATTAGGTGAAAAGGGGTTTTTGGCATAGTTTAAAATCATCATTGTAAAATGAGTTCAGACTGTTTAATTCATCCATTGGCTGCCACCCACACAACCCCAACTGGGGCTGGGGACAAACTGCAACTGAGGTACGGGCCCTTAGCAGGAACCGAACCCAGGTCTCTCTGGTCCGCGGGCTGATGCTGTAACCGCTGAGCCAAACTGGCCAGGGCAGAATTTTACTTTTTGTTAAATATTCTTTGAGATCTGTGTACTATGGGATATAGCAGAAATGGCAGGAACATGTGATTAAGAAAGAAACATAAAGACTGTGTTCCAGAAGATGGTCTGTGTCCCTTTTTGATAAGGCTTACAGTATTGTATTTTATCAAAGTACGGTTTTTTAAAGATTACAATTTAAAAAATAGAAAGTAAAGATAAAATGTATAGTATTGTGAAGTTTTCCAGTAATTTGCATTACTTTAACAAACGAGTACACAGTTTAAAATAGTGATGTTAATACAAATAGATGATAAAAATATACTAACTCCTTTAGGGAGGTCAATCAAATATTAGATACGCATTTCTGAATATTTACTTATTAAACCTGAAGTCATATAGTTTATTGGTTATGAAGTATCTAGATGTTTTAACAAAAACATTACTTCTTACAAGTTTTTGTTTTATTTTAAAATGATCATTTTATGCCTTTCTTTAATTAAAGTTTTAATTTTAGATTTAAATTAAATAATACTTTTTTTTTAACCATCAGGATAGAGGCGTCAAAGAAGATGAACTTCAGAGTATATTAAATTACCTACTTACAATGCATGAGGTAGGCCATGGTCTGTGTCTTCTATTTCATTCAGAGCATTAGAATACAATTTTAAACAATGAAATACTGGTGTCTCTTATTATGCAGGATGAAAATATTCATGATGTGTTACAGTTACTAGTGGCTTTAATGTCAGAGCATCCAGCTTCGATGATACCAGCATTTGATCAAAGAAATGGAATAAGGTATGAGTGTAATGTTAGTGTTTTTAATGGACTTCAATTGAATACAGTTTGCTTTCTAGAATAGCCCCGATTCCATGCACTTTCGAATAAATACAGCGAAGTCTTACGTGTTGGAAGGGAGCCGCGGGAGAAAGCTGCTGGAACCCTCTCACACTCACCTGATGAGCTGTGTAGGAAGTGGGTGTCAGGTCTCACGGAGAGTGCGACACCGCTCCTGTACTGAGGACTCCAGGGAGCAGGAAGAGCATTTCCTTTGGCAGGAAGATGAGAGGGGTGATTCGGCAAAGGAGAGAGCACAAGAAATCACAAGCTTAGGCTCACGAGCTAGGTAATTGGGGAGGACCATAGAATGGCAAGTTTAGATTTGTTCTGTTGATGAAAATTAAGGAATTTTTAATGGGGAAGTGATTTGCTCAGGTTTTCATTTTGTAAAACATGTAGTCGGCTGTGTGGAAGAGTTGGAGAGGGAGACAGCTGAGGCGGCAGGTCAGCAGAGAGACGGTGCTTGGCAGTATCGGGCGATGGGCAGGGCAGTGGGCAGGGCAGTGGGCAGGGCAGGGCAGTGGCCAGGGCAGGGCAGTGGCCAGGGCAGTGGCCAGGGCAGGGCAGTGGCCAGGGCAGTGGCCAGGGCAGTGGCAGTAACGTAGATGCAGATGTCTCAGAACGAGAGGACAGAATCAAGAGAATTTGGAGACTAACTTTAGTTATGAAGATTGTAAAGCAGTTATGTATACAAGTGAAACATAGTTCTTTGATTAGTATGCTTATGAACTTAAATCTACAACTTAGCCCCTTAGGGATTCTCCCTTTTTAGTTTTCTGGAGTCTAGGTTATTGGAATGAAGAAGAAATCTAGGTTACTCTATGTGCAACTCAATGGAAAAATAAATTAATTTTAATAATTAACATTAACCACAGAGCAGATGAATTAGGATTCACCTATCTTATTATATTACAAGCAAACTTTTATTAACTGATTTGGCAGTAAATTTTCTATTGATGCTGTATTGCAATCCTTTGTATCTTGTTTATAAAAACACTTGTGCAATTGTGAAGAAAAGCCTAGGTCTTTTCATGTGTCAAATGTTGATCATAATTTCTGCTGGTCCAGGATAGATCTTACACCTCCTTTTTTCTTTTAATTCAAAGTTATTCCTAGAAAATAGGAATTCTGCGGAGTTATTGATTTCATATCTGACTATAGTCACATTTTTAGGCTTTGAGCTTTTCCTTTGGATCTCACGATTATTTTTGCTGTTGAATGTGTTTTCTTAGAATTTCCTGAATATTTCTTATTTGACATGTATAACTTTCCTAATTCTTGTACTTGCTTTTTTCATTACCGATCTTGGTTCTTAAAAGTTCTAAAACTAGATTTCAGTATAAATACATTTAGGAACTTGAAAGAAAAATCTTCCAAGGGAAATAGTCACTGTATAGTAAAAGAAGCAATGTCAACAATATGTTATTAAATAGTATAAGCTACTGTGATTTAAGTTATTGGTTCTACTTTGTTAATGTTACTGAAATGATATGCGAATTATACTGCATCTTTTATTACCAGCTTTTTGGTTTAGCCTACATTACTTCACATTCAAAATATAAAATGACATTTGTCTGACCTTGGGGCAAAGGTGTGATGGTCACCATAATGAGAAGGTATCTTAAAGCAGACACATGCGGCAGACAACTCCGTAAAATGTAACAATTTATTATAGGGAAATTTGCTTATAGGAAGACTGGATCTCAGCGGAAGAGATGACCAAGCAGTTCTGCCCAGATTATTCATTACTACAGACTTCTGTTACTGTACATTTTTTAAACAGTGTTTCTCAGGTATTAAAATGGACAAGACAAAGAGACAAAGAATGTAGTAGTGCCAGGAACTGTATCTCCTAATGGTCAGTGCCGTCACCAGGTGTGATACGCATCTAGGTTACCACCCTAGCCATTATTCACCAACGTGTTGATGGTCACACACTAAGGAACACACATCATCTGTAACTGGAAGGCTGTGATATGCTTACTAAGCTCAGTGAGGTTGGTCAAAGGTTAAAGCATGAAAGGACACAGAGGTGGAGATAGTGTTTGTTCAAATCTATACCTACACAACATTTTATTTTAAAAAAAAGATACTTAATACAATAAAGCAGACCGTATTTTTATAGTCAGAGTCGCTACTGCACCCTTGAAGAACCTTAGTAAATTCTAGGGTTAGTTGTAAAAGAATATAGTCATTATTGCACCTGATACCTTTTAGAAAAGTATTTACTTTTATTTTTTGAATAGATTATGGGATAAAATTTCTAAAGAACCTACAAATATTATAATGAATATGACCCAGCTATTATATACTATTTGAAGTGACTGTATAGGTTAGGTAAGATTATGTGTTACTAGAGCCTTTTTTGCTCCAAGTAACAGAAAACTTTTCAAACTAATTTAAGTAAAAAGAATAATGTGTTTGTTGTAGACTTCTGGTTAGGGTAGGAACCAGAATCTGGGACACTCTAAGGGAAGCAAGTCACTTCCTTGGCTACTTCCTGTGTATGACCGTGTCTGCAGACAAAGCAAGGCTGTCCTGTAGTTTCTGTTTTAAATTACTTCCTATTTCAAGAGCCTAGCAAAGACTAGATTTCATTTGTCTGATCTCATTCCAAATTCTGAAAACGGATAAATAATTAGGCAGGCCCAAGGTTCAAAGGTCATCAAGTACAAATGTCAAGGGCAATTCTGATAGAAGAGAAAATGTGGCTTCACTAAGCATGTGTCTTCAAGTAGAGCATGCTACTGAGTGTGTTGGGAGTCAGTACTTAATGAACAACCAACCATATGGCCCTATTTGTTACATGTTTGAACGTTAAGTTTGAAGAAAAATAAATAAATGCTAATTTTTTCTTTTTTCAAAGAGTTTAAAATCCTGAGGTATTTTATATTTTAAGTATGTGTAATTTCATTGTAAAATATACAGTGCTTATATTTTCAATATGTTGAGAAATTTTAAAAATCATTGATTTCTGTATTTTTAGGGTAATCTACAAATTATTGGCTTCAAAAAGTGAAAGTATTTGGGTTCAAGCTCTGAAGGTTCTTGGATACTTTCTGAAACATTTAGGTCACAAGTAAGTAGATGTTTTTTATAATGAATTGTAGACATATCTACTGAAATTGTGTTTTTATTACTTTCGATGTAATAGAACATGAAATTTGACTGAAAAAATCTTCAAATGGAAAGTAATAACTTTCTGTGGTAAAAGTTGTAAAAATATTTTTTAAAACAATTTTTATTAACAGTAGATTATAGCATAAAGTCACAATTTCAGTAATATAGTATATTCCTATTTGCTTGCTGGATATAATCAAATATGTCATCAGATAAAAGTAGAGCACATGTGGGTATGGTTTCAGTGACAGCGTGAGCGGCACAGGTGCCAGGTGTGCCAGGCCTCCTGACAGCTGTCTCTCTGCTCAGTGCTGAGTCAGTATTTCATTGTTTGTGTATTCTTTTCTGACATTGGAGCTTATTGATAACCTTTGTGATTTGAAAATCCTAGAGTATCTTTTTCCCAAAATTCCAGAAGTCAGATACTTTAAAAAAATTACCTTTTGATAGAGTGAGTGTTTTTGATACTGTTTGTACAGTGCATGATAACTCTTATTTAAAATCCATTTTCTGTACAAATGAGCCCAAGACATTAGTACTTTTATTGAAGTATTGCTGCATGGGTTCCTCCCAGAAACTTACTGTTGTCAGTTCTTTTTGGTGTTTAAATTTACCAAGAGATTATTGATAGCATGGATGAAAACTGCACGAAATCCAGATAAATAGTCTAGAAGAATAGGTATTTTTTCATCTTGATGCCAAAGCAATAGTTAAGTAAGGGAGAATAGAGCTATTAAAGATGTAGAGACTGACTCATTGTAGCCAGGACTATGAAGAAAAGTCACATGGATGAGGAACTATAGGTGTACTAGTAATAGAGCACCAGGGATGAGAAACACTTGTACTTTAAAGAAATTGATTAGGGGATATTAATAAACGATTCTAGCCGAGATGCATGTCTTAAAACTTTTCATGAAAGCACATTTAAAAATATAGAAATGTGAAAAATAGTGCTACATACCTGTGATAGAAATTTACCATAAATTTAAAAGAGTAAGAAATAAATTATTTGCTTCTGAAGAAAGACAACTACTAAACAAATTCAAGACGTTAAAATTTATGAGCCATTGAATGGCATGAGCGAACATAACTTTGGGGGAAAAAAATGAAGGAAAAAAACTTTCACACAAATAAAAATGAAATGAGAAGAATCTCAAAGGAAGATACACAGACAGTAAAATTGGAAACAGAGCAAATCATATGTTTTGATGAGAATATAGCAGTTGATACAGATTACGGAGAAGAGCATTAATATAGAAAGCACAGAAGTTCCAGAAATGGCAAAAATGGAGTTTTCAAATAAGAAAAGTGAAAAACTGGACGAAACAAGTCTATAAGCTGTACTTCAGCGCAGCCCAGGCTGAGATGGTGCACTGTGTGAACCCAGGCCATGGACAGGGGCCCCTTGAGCGGCCAGCGCACGGCACCGGGAGGCGAGCAGAGGCGGGGCGGTGTGGGCGCTTCAGCAGTGCCCCCGGCTTCCCTCCCCTGCAGCAGCCTGCACCTGAGGGGCACGCGCCCCGGGTCCTTTAAGTGGAAAGGGTGCTGACAGTTTTTGACCGTACAAGGATTTTTTCCCGAGTCATTCTTGAGAAAAGTGCTGGGGATGAAACGGAGTTTAGCCGTCAGGTCGGCTGCACAGAGCACAGCGAGGGCGCCGGCGCGCAGGGCGCAGCTCAGCAGTGAGCCTGAGCGGAGAGCGCTTGGAGCCCCAGGGGCAGGCCAGAGCGCCCTTCTGTGCCCGCCGGAGGGACTCGGGGAGCTGGGGAGCGGGGGCCGGAGTTGAACCTTGTCCATGTGAGCTGACAGGAAGCATTCGAGCTCTAGGCCTGTTAACTAAACTTGATGGTAGGAGAGAGGAGAAATTAAGAGTAAATAGCTGATTTATCAGTGCTTGTATTAGGAAAATAATTTTCTAAACGTATAGAGGACTTCTTGTTCCTTTATATTTATAAGGATAAGCAGTTTAATAAAATTATAAAGCTTTCAAAATATTAAAGAAAAAATCTTTATTTTTCCTCATTTAGTTCTATATTTAAGAAACACTAAAAACAACATGAATAAGAAATGCTGAAAATAAAAGGATGAGTAAAGATATACCACATAAATACAAATTAAAAAAAGTAAAAATCATGAATTAATATTGGACAAAATAGAATTTAAGACAAAAAGCAATAAACAACATAAAGAAGGATACTTGATTATATCAAAGGGTGAAACCTTCATGAAACAGAGATTAAAGGAGAAAGGCAGACACTAATAGTTTAAAATATTAAAACAGACTATCATTTATTGATCTTGTTTTGAAACCAGTCAAGAGAGAAAATAATCTGAACAGCAGCATAAAGCTGATTAAGGTAGTTTGACTCTGCACCTCGTTAATAAAGATTACAATTTTAAGTGCCCAAGGAGTATTTGAAAATGTGGTAGTGTAGTAGATATTAGAGGAAAATTTCAAGACATAGAAACAAAGCAGAAAAGGTTATCTTATTAATATGCAATAAAATTCGAAAATAGTAACAAAATCAGAAACTAAAGAATCTTCTACCTAGAAATTTAAAATGTATTAAACAGTGTTTGTGTCAAAGAGAAAATACACACTGAAATTGCAGAAGTTTTAGAAAATAACTTCAAAAAGCTATAATATATAACTGGAGACTTAGCAATTTATTTTCTTAGTGGCCTTGGAAACATCCTTAAGGCTCATTTTTTACCCTATAAATGAGCAAAACCACACTGCTTTCCTCGTTTAGTTTTTTGGATAAATGATAGAGTAGATATAAAGTGGTTAATTACAGTATAATGCCATGTGATAATTTGAATAGTTCTCAAAAAGGTAATAGGTACAATTTAACATGTAGTTCTGATAAAATCAGAACATTTCTTATGTATGATAAGATACTGATCTTAAATAGCTGACATCAAACAAATGCGAAATACTGGCACCATTCAGAACAGCAGTGACATCACTGTTCATTCAGTAATCTAATCTTACTTTTCAGGATTCGAAACAAAACGCCCAATTATTAGGGAGGAGAGAATAGGTATCATTGTTTATAGATGATTTTATTATATATCTAAAAACCTAAAAGAATAATCTTTAAAACTGTTAATAAAGGAGATATTACCCAAACTCACATTTTAGTTGTGTATGGAGGATTTGTTTGTCTAATAGCACATCTGACGGGGATCCACAATGAAGCTAAACTGAAGTCTGGGTGGGTTGATCCCTTTTAACACATAGTGCATGTATAATTTCTGCCAAGTACCTGGGATACAGGTTGCGAGACAATCCATACACTTTGTTGTTGCCTGAACTAGAAATAGGTTTGACATCTGTCATTGAAATTGAGAAGTGTATTCCAAATAATATATGCTACAAATCCTCCCTCCTGAAGAGAGAACTTGAATCTTCTCATGAGTGTGGGATTGACTTCCTGGCTCCCTTTCAAAGAAGAACAAAACCTGGCAGTGATTCTCACCATTGATTAAGGCTAATATCAACAGTCAAACACGTCACCTTTGTGTTACTCTAAAAAAAATAAATAACCCTAATGTAACCCAGAGAAATCCTCATACATCCCCAAAGTGAGGTACATTTCTATAAAGCATTTGACCAGTACTCCTTAAAACTGTCGAAGGGCATGAAAAACAAAGAACAGGAACCTGCCACAGATCACGGAGTATAAGGAGTTACGATGACTAAGTGAAAGGTGGATCACCGACTGGATCCTGAACAGAAAACACGTGAGGGGAAACTGTTGAAATATGAATAAACCCTGTGGTTTAGTGTGAATAAAACCTGATAATATTCTACCTCTGTTGACTTCTTAGTTTTCACATGTGTACCATGATCAGATAAGATATAAACATTAAGAAGTTGGGTGGCTAATGTATAGGAACACTTTGTACTCTTGTTTAGCTTTCCTATAAACCTAAAAATTCCCCAAACTGTGTGTGTGTGTGTGCGATTCAGAACCCTAACTTGGATATACGCCTGACCAGGAAAATACAGTGTCGCTCCAGGCAGCTGGCCTGGTTGCAGTTATCTTCAAACATGGTTGTAAGAAATGTCTCAGACAAATGATAAACGTCCAGATTCAAAAGCTAAAGGGGCATCCGGTCAAGGTGGTGGGGTAGGTGAACTCTGTGCTCGCCGCCTCCCACAACCGCATCAGAATTACAACTAAACTGTAGAACAGCCATCACTGAAACCACCTGAGGACTAGCTAAACGCGATTTCTACAAGGGGAGAGGAAGCAGCCACTGCGAGGCTGGTGGGGAAGGCGGAGACGTGGAATGGAGAGGCCTCACGCCCACCGTGTGGTGAGTAAGGATCAGAAGAGCTCTCTTGGCTGCAGTGGTTTCACCTGAGAAATGGGTGCTTCGGCCCCACATGGGGCTCTTCAGCTCAGGACAGCGGTGTTGGGAAGAGGACTCCCATGGTATCTGCATGACAACCAGTGGCGATTGCCTCTGAGTGACAGTGAAGGCTGCAGGAGACCCGGCTGCTCGCCTTGAGGGCCCACTCATGGACGCTCACGCGCACCTCGCTCACTTTAAGCTGAGGCTCAGAGGCAGCTTGAAGGGCCCCAGGGCCATACAGGGAGGACTGAATGGGTAAGTGCAGTGTGCAGCCTGGAGAGCCAGGAGTTGGGGCAGCTTTCTTCAGGGACAGCAGTGCTGACGGGCATCGCATTACTTTGTTGAACTTCCCCCCCCCCACCCGCAGGCTCGGGCGAACACCGTTCATCTTGTCGTGCTTCCCTGAGACTCTCGCTCCCAGGCCAGGCCTCCTCCAGCGGCTTTTCCATTCAGGCAGCCTGCCTCGGCTCATGCTGTGGACTTTCCCAAAGTCTCTCAAAGGTCCCCGAATCCTGAAGAAGCAGCAGCTAGCCTGCGCATGCCCTGCATCTCTTGCTAAGAGGCCCCGAGCCAGGCCCGAAGTGGCCACTGGCC